TATGTAAATATGTATGTACATATAAGCAACGGAATGTGTGAATAAATTTTTTATTTGGCTTTCCCGATCTTTCAAGAACAATCGAGTACACATGTGCACATTTGTATACCTACTTAGGTACATACTGAATGGGGAAACAAACGTAAAATGAGCCCATTTCACCGTAAAAGCTCTCTATGTACCTGCCCTAGTAAAGAAATGTGCTCTGTAAAGTGAGAGAGGAGGGCTAAATGAAATTTTCCGAATTGCGTTAGGTTGTTTTGATTTTTAGCATCAGGTTTCTTGGGATTTCTATTATACATATCTATCTCTATGATAAAAAAAAATTCTCTAAGGTAGTTTCACTTCGAAATTTTTGAGAGTAAACGTGTTTGCTCTTGGAGAATTTTTACTTTCCTATTTTTGGGGTTATTGAAAGATTTGTCCTTTTTTACTTTTTATCGAAACTAAGGTTTATAGGTTTTCTCAACGGCAAGGTTTGTATCCCTGGTCACAGGTACGCTCAGGGAAGTACTCGATGAGTTGACCGGATAGGGATAATCATAACACGGTTTTCGATTTCTCGGAAAGTTCTCCTTCGATAGCACCTCTAGGCATCATTAATCTCCTGAACACCAAGCGGCTTGAGCATCTGGAAAGATGAAAGTAATCTTCTTCTTAGAACCAACATAGTTATCATCAAGAGATTAGGGTTCCGTGTTCGAGCAAGATGTTTAACTAACGAACTGATTAATATCAATATTTTTAGCAGTTGAATTGAATTCAAAAGTGTTTGTAAATTTAATCGACCGAACCGACTTTGAGCGTTGTTATGAGATTTTCATAATGAATTTGCTCTGTTTTAAAAAAAATCCTGTTTGCTTAAAAAATTTCCTTGTAATATCTCTAAAACTGTAAGACTGATTTGAATTAAAACGTAGTAATAGCCAGCTCCTCACTTTTTTGATTTCGATTTAAATTTTGAAGGGTTAACCTTTTCTCTTTCTGATACTTTCTTACAATGCACTAAACTTGTAATACAAAATCCATGAAAAGCAAGCATTCGTTGAAGTCCACTATCAGTGGTTGGAAAATACAATATGATGATTTTTGAGTGTTTAAAAAATCCAAAAATTTGAAACTTTTATACAAATTTTTTGTTTTAAATACTAGATTTTATGAGAAGAAGGTAGATCGAAAAAGCAGAAACACGTTTAATATCAGAAACCTATGAACCCAACTGTGAAGAGAGAGAGAGAAACTAGTTTTATATTATTTTATCATGTTCATCTCCACGGCATTCGTCTGTTTGATAAGCGTATTAAGGGGCCACCTAGTGTAATGGCCCCAAAAGCGTGGTTTTTGGGAATTTTTATTAAAAAAAAATATTTTATCAATTATTTCAAAATTTTAAGAATGCATGTTTCAAGAATATACAGTGAAATTTTTGAAGGAAAAAAGGAAATATTTTTGAAGTTACAGTCGATCTCCAACGGCGCGAAAAAGAAGGCCCTTCACTGCTGCAGTGATTCCGGCCCTCTCCATGGGTGAAATCTAAAAAAAATTCTAGTTAAACTAGGTAATATTGTCTGTACAAGGACCTACGATAAAAAAAAATCAAAAATTGACAATATGCCGGCGTTTAAAAAAAAATAATCGAATTTCACCCAAAATTTTGGTTGTTTTGGACTGCCAAAATTCGATTTTTTGATCGGATCAAAATCGATTGGTCATTGTACCGAGAACTATATACAGAACATGTAAAAAAATTCGATAGTGATCGGATCATTTGTTTTTGAGTATTCACTGCAGTGAATTCGTGTTTAAAGATAAAATGATCGTTTTCACTCGTAACCAATGAGACTCTCTAGCTGCCGCTCTTTAAATTGCTATAACTCAAAAACTATTTGAGATATCGATTTGAAATTTTAATATGTTATTTTTAAAGGTGTAATCTACCGAAACTTTATTCGGCCACCTCGACCTTGGTTTGATCAAAACCTTGCAAATGAGCTTATTTTTCGCTCATTTTTGTGCCATCTTTTAACAAAAAAAATGGCCAAATATGTGATTGCGGTAGCGGAAGTACGTCAAATCAAAAACGAAATTTGTAAAATTTGTGTTTTTTTTTGGTGTAGGAAATTTTTCCCATATTTACATACATAAACATTTTGGCAAAAATAAAAATATTTCTTTTTATTTAATAATATCAAATACCGCCCACTGTATATATGACGAAGTTTTTTCAGTGACGTCAACGGTTGTCGTAACCTTGTATTCTATAAACCTTCTATATTTCTTTCTAATATCTTTGTACAAAATGAAAGGATGATTGCAATAAAGTATGTAGATATGAAGGTACATTGATAACGCAAAATAATATTATAAATGGTACAGTATTATTATAAGTTATAGTAAGGGATCAATCTAACCAGTGGCTTTGACATTCACTGCCTAGGATGTGAAACTCAGATATGAGGTTTTTGATAAAACAATAAATCATTCTACGCATCTAAAGTTACTAAACCTTTACAAGGAAATTTTCAGCTATGAGAATTAATATTTAATTCTAAAACGCAATACAATAAAGTTCTCTAGTTCTTGGGGAATCGAACGTTTTCGAATCGTCCGATTTGCCAGATTTTTTTTTAATTTTTTTTTTTTAATTTCGAATCAATACACTTTATTTTAATATACTAACTTTTTAACAATACAAAAATGTAAGTGAATTAATTTTGGTCTCTTATTGACAGTAAACAGATTTTTTCTTTTAGAACTAACGAGAAGATACTTCGTTCGATAGTGAATCGAGCATTATATAGTTGTTTTCGACAAATTTCCGATTCGAAAATTTATTTTAAATCGTTGACGAAACAAAAATCGCCTCCGTTTTTATGTTTATCGGAAGCAGACCAAGTTGATTGATTCAATATTACAGTTCATTCATAAATATTGATAATGTGATTGCCATTTACATATGTGAATACATACGTTAGTATACATTGCGAAACAATCTGAAACAATTCAAGCAGAAAACAAGATAATAATTCAGTTAAAAAGATATTGAAAATAAATTCGAAGTATTTTTTTTATTACTTTGAACGCTCGGTCAGCCTTGAGAATTGAACGTTACAAAAATATATGAAAATTTCTCATTTAAAGAGCAACAGCAATGTTTAATTTTCAATATCTTACTTTTGTTGTAAAATGTATGAAGAGAACATTCAGCTTTTTTTTACTAAAACTACACCAACTATTATGCAATTTAATCGGGCTTCCTTGCTCAAAGTTTCGCCAAACAAATGTGCTTAGGTATTCATACTCCTATATGAGTAAATTACCCAATAAGCACTAAAATGAGGTGATGACATGTCGCATTCGTGGCAAAAGTTTGCAAGTTTAGAATTTGACTCCAATTTGACTAGATTTACCGAATATATTCTTTGCTGAAAAAACAAAAAAATAATGAATTCATACAAAAACAATTTAATTTACTTCTTATTTTAGTAAGATCGTGTTACGTAATGTCTCAATCGCGATGTGTTTAAAATGAAGTTTAAGTGCTGATTAATTTCAAATTATTTAATACTCATTTTCTTATCAGGTGTACAACTTTTCTTCCGCCGTTTTCCGTTAGGTGGCTGTACCGGCTGAGGCTGGTTGCCTAACGAATTGTCATCGTCGTTTCAGTGACAGTTGTTCTTGTTTTCGTATTATTCACGCTTGAAAATGTCCGTTTATGTGCCCAATTCTCGCCATTTGCGGGAAGCTTTACTTTTCTGTTACAAAAAATGCAGCTGAAGCGCATCGAATGCTCTCAGAAGCTTACGGTGATGCTGCTCTGAGTGAAAGAACGTTTCGCGAGTGGTTTCAACTTTTTAAAAATGGTGATTTCGATGTCGAAGACAAACATGGTGGTGGTGGGATCAGCTCGGTGTGATTTACTACGAGCTCTTAAAACCGGGTGAAACATCATCACAGGAGATCGCAACCGAACGCAGCTGATGCGCCTTAGTCGCGTGCTAAAAGAAAAGCGGCCACAATATCAAGAGCGACATGACAAAGTCATCCTCCAACACGACAATGCTCGGCCTAACGTCGCAAAAGTGGTCAAAAAGTACCTAGAAACGCTGAAATGGGAAGTCTAGCTAAACCCGCCGTATTCCCCAGATGTCGCCTCTTCTGACTTCCACCTATTCCGTTCGATGGCATACGACCTGGCAGATGAACAGAGGACTGCTGTTTTCGAGCCGGGATCCGAAAATTGCCGGAAAGATGGGAGAAAGTTTTCGCTAGCGAAGGACAATACTTTGAATAATATATCTGTAAGCACTTTTTCGCAATAAAGCTTTTAATTTTGGAAAAAACGTCGGAAGTAAAGTTGTACATCTGATATACTTGTCTAATAATCTCGGTATTTATGAGAGAGAGAGAGATAATATTTTGAGTGGCTAGTAATTCTAAAGCAGCACGATAAACTAAGATATTTTGAATCTTCAACTAATTCGGCGACGACGAACAATCTCGTTGGGTTTATTGGGTATACATATGTATACATATGTATTTATATATGAGTAGATAGATTCTAATATCGAGTAAATTCTGTTGTTTCAACGGTCACATGCTAATTGGTGCAAATATCTGTATTGCTTAATTTTAAATGAAAGTTAGTATTTTAAATTCACAAACATATACATATACATATAGCAGTGTGTGTACCTTAACGTTCATTGGTTTATAAGGCATTTCGCATCTCAGTTATTTTTAGAACCATAAATTCTATTAATTATTAAGAACCGTTTAAGGTGATATAAACAACAACCAATTAGTAAGCTATTGAGAGGATGCTTCTTCTAAAATAATAACACACACATACCTACAAATGTTTCCTGAGATGTTAATATTATTCAGCATTTAATTATTTTTTTCTATTGTAATGAATAAATTTATTTTGAGTATAGAGAAATGTTTGAGTGCGAATTAAATTAATTAATAGATTTTGATTGATCATTTTCTTGCAGATCGAACATAATAAGAAGAACATTTGTGACCAACCAGTGAAGTATACAATAAAGATATGTGATTTGCCCAAAACTGGCCTGGTTTATATGGCAAGGCCAATAAACGTAACCAAGAGAAGCGAAGTCGCATATGCTTAATTCCCAAAAAGCATTATCCGATATTCGCACCGCTCCTTCAACTACTGTCATCCATCCGAAGTGAAAGTATGATTTTGAGAACATAAATACACTCATACATACGAGTATATGCATAATGCGGCGCACCTTTAAGCACGATTCCGGTGCGAAGATGTTGAACGCCAGTTGGCGTCATCGGCGTCGCCTTCGCTTCTACAAGTTTTTCCTGCAATTGCGCATATATCCATTATTTCGATTACTACCCGTGTTGTGGTTACTATTGTGCTACTGTTGTTGTTGCTGCCATTGTGCGGACAGGCGGCACATCGAGGAACAAAACGTCAAGCCGAACAACTGCTACGACATGCGATATGGCTTCGATGGGGCACTGACCAGTGCTGCGCCAATCCCACGATTACCAACTGTCAATAGCACCAACGGAGTTAACGGAAGCACTGTCAGCAGCACAAACTTAAGCGCCGCGGCGAGCGACCCGTGGATGCGCCATCAATTGCAATTGCAGAGTGGTGCGGATACGAATGCACATGGCATCAGACCAGGCTGGCAATGTTGCTGCTGGAATGCGACAAATCAAGTAAGTGTTAGCAAATTGTTTGTAAAATTTTATGATAAGGGGCAAGTGTCGTGCGATGAAATTATTTGTTGTGGATATAAAATTCTACATGTACATATATCTACATACAGGGTGCGTCATTTATATGTAGTCAATAGAAATGTTGAATAATTTGAAGAATTTTTTTTTTTTTATAATTTTTTCTCCACTAGATTCGAAACGTAAAACGTAGATCGCATACAAAACTTCGCTCTTTTTTCTTCATTTTCCATGACATTTGTCATCATCTTGGGCGATAACGCAGCGATTTCAGGTCTTCGGTTTGTTAGCATACACTTTGCTTTTTAAAAAAGCTCCACAAGAAAAAGTCTGGTGCAGTCAAATTGGGCTATCTTGGTGGCCAGTCGATATCCCCTCCTTTGAATACCACACATTCGGGGAACTTTTGACCCAAGAATTTCATCGTTGCGCCATCTTGTTGTAACCAAAAGTTTTGCAGACCTTTTTTACGCACCCCAGCACGTCCGCTATACTTTTTCCGTTACGCAACATTGTAACTATATCCGCACGATTTATAGATATCTCTAGTATTTAAAGAAAAATGTGTAGAGATGGAAATATCTTATAACATAAAAATACACATACATATATGTATGTACATAGCGCTACTACTCTATTTTCCTCTTTATTCTTCCTCATTTCGCTTTCGATTCGGAAACCCTTCTAAGTCGTAAGGTTTTGTAAAACTGAATTACGTCCATGGTTCATGTTCATGTTCAAGTAAAATTACCCACTTAAAGCGTGCACGAATTCGCAGTTAGTGCCTTAAATAATGTGAATTGTAATCCTAACTTCAAAATTGAAATATTGAGATTGATCTTTTGAAATGTATGTATGTATGTATGACGATGTGTTGGGGAGAAGGGCTTAAATATCTGAACGCAAAAGTTCTTGAGATAATCGTGGGCAGGTACGAGTGCATCTTCCACTATAAAATGTGATGCCCAGAGAATCACTTTACTAATGCTCCTTTGGAATACAGTTTCTCTAATTAATTGAATGAGGAAAGTGAATTATCCTTCATTCAGGAAGAGTAGACTTACAATCATTTTGATTGTTAAATTCAGCGTTGATATTGTGCGACTTTTTCCTGTTTGTGTTTGCCCTCCCTGCTTCGTTTCGTCTGGTTATTGTTTGCTGTTAAGTAGATACATAAGGGTACACGGTGTGTCCCAAAAATAACCGAACTTTTTGGATATGAAATAAAATACACATTACATTATCTAGGAAAGTTATTATATATTCAAAATAGGTTCCATTTGACTCAACACAACGTTTGGAACGATCAACCAGCGCATGCATAGATTTTTTTATGTCATTTATAGAAATGTTCTTCAGTACCTCGGTTACGTCTGCTTGAATGACTGGGATATCATCATAAAATGCTCCCTTCATCTTGGTTTTCAGATCAGGCGAGTACAGAGGATGGTCGATGAGAGAAATCCCTTTTTTCATTAAAAATTCGAGCGATTTTTTGGTCGTCATTTAATTCAAGTGGAACAAATCGCGCACAGACCTTTCTTTTCCCCTAATCTTCAGTTAAAATTCTCCAAATAGTGTTTTTACTCGTATTCACTTCCTCAGCCAAAATCATCGTAGTAAAATTCGCATCGATACAAATGATTTCACGGACTTTTTCCACCAGTTCAGCACGATTACTAGTCTCTGGCCTTTTCTCATTATTTTTTTTTCAAGTTTGCTTTTTGTTTCATTTTATTTTTGAACCATTGGCACACTTTTGGTTTTATTGAAATGGCTGTCACTTTTACATCTTTCGTCCGACTTACATGATGTTAGGTGCGTTTGAAAGAGGATGAATGTATCTTTTTAATGTTGCAAATTTTCAATAGATGGCGCTGTATGTTGTATGATTTAAATATAAAATCCAGTTATTTTTGGTACACACCGTGTATGCATGCATGAGTGCAACACCCATGCTTTTTAATTTGGACTATGTTTGAAATTACGTACATTCCTCTTTTTCACAATATGATTATCATTAGCTTCGCTTCGTATCGCTGCTGAAATTTCCGCCTTCTCTTTGTGCTCTGACGCTAAAATAGCAAAGCTACCTTTCACATGTGTATAGTATTGGGGAGAAGATTGGAGGCATTCTTAAGTGTAATTCTTTAGTTTATCTTTGGTTTTATATCAAGTGAGTAGTTATTTAAGCAATATTCTTATAGGGTCGTAACTTTATTTCACATTGTTAATTTCGAAATGTTTCTTCTGCAGGGGATTCTACATTATTTCTGCTGAATCCCCGGCAAAACTTAATTAGAAGATATTGCCGACGTAAAATTTGTCATCCAACTATATATTGGCGGCGGCAATGCGTGCTATCATTTGGAAGATCAGAATTCGAGTCCTGGTCTGACTAACATCCTTCACACATACAGTGTGCGAACTATTTGATCACAAACCATTTCCATATACTATATTTTGTTCACTGTTACTGGTAAATTTTGTTACTTTTCTTTAACACCCGAAATTGAATTTGGTATTCTGGCGAACTCGTTACAACGTTGGAAAAAAATTTGGCCGCACTGCTTTTTTCGTTCATGTCAAATTACATTTGCCAGTTGACGAAGTAAAAATAAAAATATTCACATCGAAATGGAAGACAGTGCACAAAAAAATTAAAAAGTTTAATTACTTCGTTTATTAATCATAAATATTTGAACGTAATTATGGAAAATATGCCTGGACAACAAAAAAAGCTGAATGAAAACGTTATCTTGCAAATTAAAGGGCTATTTTTTAGTCTCGAAAACTTCTTACAATATGGCTTTTGCAATTTTTTTCTTTATCTTCAATGAATTCCAGGCCTAAACTATGCCAACCCATTTTGGTTTTTTATTTTTTCTCAAACCTACTACACAAAATCAAACAGCAGATATTTTTGGTGCCTCCTATTTCGCTGGTAACAAAATTTAAAAGGTAACAGTGAGCTCAGAATACGAAATAGTAACAAAATTTACAGAATGGTAAATTTTAATACCAAAGTAAATTTTGTTACCTCGACAGAATCGGCCTGTAAATGTCAGTTATTGAGTGCGGAATTGTTGGAAATATGTCTTTACTTTTCAGAGTATATTTACAAATGTAGACGAAGGCATGTGATCAGTAAGTTGACTTTGTGAAGTAGAGAGCTGTTAGTCGTTTTGCTGTTCAAGTATTTCTACTTTTTTCTTTGTTATTTTATTAAATTTGGCTTCAGTATAGATGAAAAAGCTAAGCTAAAAAAAGAAGAAATCAAAAATCTTATTGATTTATACACAAAAAACATAGAAGCTTCAAGACCACTTGGTGGTTCTGTGGGAGTGGACGAATGCAAATTTTGAGCGTCACACTGGAAAGACCCTTTGATAGGCAGATAAGGTTTGGTGTGTATGAAAATGCGGGCCAAATCAGATGTGATCTCTTTCATGGTGATGGAATAAATGTTACAAAGGAAGCTATTAGGAAGAGATTGCGGAAAAACGGATTGCGCGGACGTGTCAAAAAACCACTCTTGACTAAATGACATTGTAAATTGAGGCTCCAATTTGCAAAATATTACTGGATCCGAGTCAACTGGTCAAACGAAATAGAAATAAACCGACTGGGGAAAGATGGGCGGCAATAGATTTGGAGAAAACCTCGTGAATCTTTGACTAGCCTCGTTGTTCAACCAACGTTTAAGTTTCGAGAGGATAATGTAATGATGTGGAGATGTATGAGACTGAGGGGTAAAGAATGTGTCGGACGTTGTATTCCAGCAAATAATGACTTCTCGTGTTGCCAAGGCTTGGCTTCGAAACAACAGCTTTGAAGTACTTGAAGTATCCCCGGACCTCAACCCAATCGAACATGCTTGGATTGAGGCGTGCGATTTATGATTTACCAGGTGGGTGGCAGAATCTTTGCAATTTATGGCAGAAGGCTTAAAATGACTGGCAAAATATTCCGCAGGAAAGTGGTCGAGTTCCACAAAATGAGGCAGTAATCAAAGCAAAAGGGGCTCATATTAAATAACGTGCAGCGGAGATATTTTTAACAATCCTAACAAACCAAACATGTGTTTTCAAAAAAATGTGTAACTTTTAATTTGCGATCTTTTAATGTTTTGTATATGAAATAAATTTGGATTGCCATTACAAGCAAAAAAGTTACAAACAAAAATCTTTTTCTGATACCCAGGTGTGATGAAATAGTTGACATACTGTAAGTCTACGAAGCGAAGCACACCTCCACTCATACTTATCTCGTAAGATAAAACGCAGATGTGATGAATGAGATCCTGAGAATGCTGAAATCAATCTAGAAGAAAAGTTGTACAGGCGCGACCATATATATTAGTTCCGGGAAATACTAAGATTATAGGAAATCAGATCACTTCACTTGCGACTGGAAGACGGGATCCATTAGACCACAACGTTGCTGCTTAGAATGCAAACACTACTCTAAAGTTGAGTGGTAGTGGTAAAGATTTACAAAGCTTTGTTAGACAACGGGAGTACCGAGTTAAAAACTCAATGCGGTAAGGTGATAAGCTTAGAAAGATTTCAAGGAAAAACGTGGAATAACGTGCTGTATCCAATCTAGACTCTTAATAATCCCAGAAATCGGGGTGGTGGTGGACAGTGAAGCGAAAATTCCAAATACGAGTGTCAGATTAAAGAAAGAGACCGATAATCTTAGCATGTCTTAGAGCTCTTAACTCGAATGCTCGTTAACGAAAACATTTTTTCAGGATTTATATATATACAGCTTGCTCCATATTTTATGTCGGTATACATTGAATAACTTTGAGAAAAACAACTGATTTTTATAAGTGATGTATTTTTATTCAGTTTGGTTCCTTACAGTATTTTTTGGGTTAGTTTTTGAAAGCAATATCGATCAAGTGGCTACCTTTATTAGCAATTACAAAATGACTTCTTTTTTGTGCGTTTGCCATTACCTTTCCGACAATTCGG